CTGTCTGGTCTATGCTCCAGGAAGCTGAGGTGATGGTCCTGCCAGCTCTCACATGAATGTGGTAGAATGTAGGTTGGCCCTCAGGATGGAGAGGGTCAGATTTCACCACCTGCCACAGCAGGATGCATTCTAGCAGCAGTCTCAGTTTGAAGACAGTGCTGTGCCATAGCCACTTAGATCAGGAGGAAAGAATGCTCTGCCTGGGCTTCTACTATGAGGCTGTGCAGCTGCACAAACTTCCAGCTCCTCTCCTACTGGGTTTGGGCCCTGTGAGGACTGAGGGACTCTTCTGTGGCAGGGCTTGCTGGTATTTGTGGAAGCAGTGGAAACAGCTGGGGTTTTTCCAGCTTACTTTCCCTTTGTCTGACTCTGAGCTTGTCATTGTGGCAAGTCAGAGTCTGTACCTTGCTCTGCTCTCTAAGGTCTTATCCCTGTCTTCTGTGCTCCATAAGAATTTCATCTCTCCTCTGGTGCTCTGCCGTGTACTTCAGCTGTTCTGGTCTAAATACAGTTTTTAATAATTGTTTTGATCTCTTTTTGTGCGGGATGGGGGCAAGTGCCAGACAACTCTCATTGACCATCTTGCTTCACTCTCCAGGGGTTCCCTACTTGATTTTCATGGAGCAGTATTCAGCCCTGTTCATGTGGGTGTGGACACATATTAAGCAAATATCTGTGGTAGGAAAAGGTACATGTGCCTTCCAGGTCGAAGATTTCAGCATCATATTGGCCATGAACTGCATGGGAAGATAAATTCTTCTATCTAGATTTCTGATCCTCCTATTAAAATGTGGCACATTGATATCTCCATTAGTTTTCCATTGGTGAATAAGAAATTACCTCCAATTTGGCAGCTAATTAGCTTACAGGACAATAGCTGAGAAGTCTAGGAATGGCATGACTGGGTTCTGCTCAGTCTTATGAAGCTAAAATTGAAGATTCAGTCAGGATGCGTTCCTTTCTGCAGCTTAGTATCTTCTAAGCTAATGTGATTGTGGCAGAATCAGTTTCTTGGAGTTGCATGGATAAGGTCTTTTCTGCTGGCTGTTAATTCACAGCTACTAAAGGCCACTCTCATCTTTTATCCCATGTTGTTCCTTCCATCTCCAAAGCCAGCATCAGAGATTCTTCCCCATATTACATCCTCTTCACATTGTGAATATTAATTTTAGGTGTCAACTTGAGTAGATTACGGAGTAGCTAGATACCTGGTAAAGCATTATTTTGGGGTGTGTCTGTGAGGGTGTTTTCAGAAGTGATTAGCATGTAAGCCTGAGTGACTGGGGTGGGAAAGATCTGCCCTCAAAATGGGCAGGCACCATCCAGTCTGCCAGGGGCCCAGAGAGAACAAAAACAGAGGAAAAGGTGAATCTCTCTCTCCATCCCCTGGAGCTGGGATACACTCTTCTCTCCTGTCTGTGGACATCAGAACACGAGAACCTTCAGCCTTTGGGTTTCAAGAATTTAGTGGTACCTCCAGGATCTCAAGACTTTGGCCTCGGATTGAGAATTACACCATCAGTTTCTCTGTTCTGAGGTTTTTGGACTTGGACTGAGCCATGTTACTGGCATCCAATTGGAGAAATCCTATCATGGGATTTTTCATTCTTCATAATTGTGAGAAAAATTTCCCTAGTAAAACCCCTCTCATATATGCATATACATATCCCATTGGTTCTGTCTCTCTGGAGAACCATGACTAATACACAGACCTTGTGTATTTTCTGAAAGCCTCTTCCCTGAGTGTGCATTCTGTTTTCAGGCATGAATTCAAGAGTCCCCTCCTCAAGAAGGGCACTCCTGTCCCCTATATTTTAGGTGGAGCCCCCCACCCCTGGCCACTTCCAATCACATAGCCTCTTTTGTTGGCTTGTCATTCATGACTATCTCAGATTTTTGAGGTATCTGTGATGATATGAAGAAGTTTTGTTGTATTGAAGCAGGAAAATAATCAATGCTAGGAAGTAGAAATTTAAATTAAGTTACCATTTGTAGGAATGTATGCACATATAAATGCAACTTCATGCAAGAGCAGACAAAACAGGGTGGTAATGAGGTAGAACTGTAGCGTATATACCATTTGAAGCCATTTATTAAGCAGGTGAAGACCACTGGGGGAATTTGATGGAATCTCAGAGGGAGCAGGGTAGGAATGACAGCAGAAATATTATTTGTTTTCTGTGCCCTCCCCTGCCCCTCTCACAAATAAAAGCTCTGTGAGATCAGGGATTTGCTTGATTTGCTCATAACTTGTGGCCCTATGTCTAAATACTTTTATGTGTGTTATTCTATAAATATTTTTGATTGTGTGTATACATAAATAAAGAGCTGCTCTATAGAGCCTGGGAACTGAAGCTATTTCACCTGTTATCCTCAGGAGGAGCTGTGACACTCTATGCCTGTTCACAGAGGGGTCTAGGAGGATTTTAGATGTTACAAAAGAAACGGACTGAACTAAAAAGCAGCAGCAGGGGTGATTCATAAGTATCCAGTAACTCATTTTCTGAGTTAGTGTTTGTGATGAGGGAAATACCAGGAGTTTGGCTGGGATGTATTGAGGTGCCTTTGTATTGTCTATGAGAAAATTAAAATATGTATTTAAAATTCAGAAGATATATTGAGAGATATATAAATTTGTGCATTATGTCCTGTTTTTATGCAGTAACATGAACACATTCCCATGTACTGACATCATGTTAATATGTTTCAATTAAATTTTGAAACTATATATCCACATACACAAGTATTCTATTACCAAATTAGTTTACATTTTCAAGTTGACTGCAGCTGGTTTGATATTTTACCTTTGTAGCTACTGTTGAACTTTAAGAATTATAGTCTTAAGTTGATTTCTGGTCCTTTTGTAAGCATACGATCTCATTTCTTGGGGTAATGACATTTTTGTCTCCTTTTCCCATTGCTTTCCTCCACAATTCACTACACAGGTGCTTTTGCTTTCATACTCTCTGATGCTTTGCATAGGCTCCTCAGGCACTAGCCTGACTGCTCAGAGCTCTATTAATAGGGCTCCTCTGGAGATGGGGCCTGAGTGCTTCAGATGGGTGAGCGCAGCAAGATGGCACCACAGCCCCAACTCCTTGTCTTCCTGGTGCTCTGGGTATCAGGTGAGAAGCTTAGATGAGTGATATCTTTGTAAAATTAAAAGAAAATTGAACATGTAGAATAAAAGAAACATTCCTCCCAAACAGTTTGATTATTTGTGATAAAAAAAGAAAGGCTACATTTTTACATATATATTTTAATATCTTAGTATGTGATGTGTGGTCACTGTCAATTCTTAATTGCAGGTGCCTGTGGGGACATTGTGATGACCCAATCTCCAGACAACCTGGCTGTGTCTGTAGGAGAGAAGGTCACCATCAGCTGCAAATCTAGCCAGAGTCTTTTATCCAGTTCCGACAATAAAAACTACTTAGCCTGGTACCAGCAGAAACGAGGACAGGCTCCAAAGCTGCTCATCTACTTGGCATCCACCCGGGCATCTGGAGTCCCTGATCGATTCAGTGGCAGTGGGTCTGGGACAGATTTCACTCTCACCATCAGCAGCCTCCAGGCTGAAGATGCGGCAGTTTATTACTGTGGGCAGCTTTATAAGAGTCCTCCCACAGTGCTGCAGCCTCGAACACAAACCTCCTCTGTAGGTCTGCCTGTCAGTGAGTGTCTTAAGCACCCGGTGCTTCCTCCCCACACAGCCCTGGACTTGAACCCTTCCTCTTTCTGCCTGAGAGTCTGTGTATTCTGCTTATTTATGAGGATGTTAGCAGGGCTAGAGAAAAGAGTTAAGGTGCTCGACATGTCTTTCAATCCCCTCTTTTAAGGTTTCACTCTAACGCAAACATTTAACTTAGATAAAATAATNTTGTTGCATTGAAGCAGGAAAATAATCAAGGCTAGGAAGTAGAAATTTAAATTAAGTTAGAATTTGTAAGAATGTATGCACATATAAATTCAACTTCATGCAAGAGCAGACAAAACAGGGTGGTAATGAGGTAGAACTGTAGCGTATATACCATTTGAAGCCCTTTATTAAGCAGGTCAAGACCACTGGTGGTATTTGAGGGAATCTCAGAGGGAGCAGGGTAGGAGTGACAGCAGAAATATTATTTGTTTTCTGTCCCCTCCCTGACCCTCCCATAAATAAAAGCTCTGTGAGATCAGGGATTTGCTTGATTTGCTCATAACTTGTGGCCCTATGTCTAAATACTATTATGTGTGTTATTCTATAAATATTTTTGATTGTGTATACATAAATAAAGAGCTGCTCTATAGAGCCTGGGAACTGAAGCTATTTCACCTGTTATCCTCAGGAGGAGCTGTGACACCTTATGCCTGTTCACAGAGGGATCTAAGAGGACTTTAGATGTTATAAAAGAAACTGGCTCAACTAAAAAGCAGCAACAAGGTTGATTCATAAGTATCCAGTAACTGATTTTCTGAGTTAGTGTTTGTGATGAGGGAAATACCAGGAGTTTGGTTGGAATGTACTGAGCTGCCTTTGTATTGTCTAAGAGAAACTTAAAATACGTATTTAAAATTCAGAAGATATATTGAGAGATATATAAATTTGCGCACTATGACCTGTTTTTATGCAGTAACATGAACACATTCCCATGTACTGACATCATATTTATATTTTTCAATTAAATATTGAAACTATATGTCCACATACACAAGTATTCTATTACAAAATTAGTTGACATTTTCAAGTTGACTGCAGCTGGTTTGATATTTTACCTTTGTAGCTACTGTTGAACTTTAAGAATGATAGTCTTATGTTGATTTCTGGTCCTTTTGTAAGCATACGATCTCATTTCTTGGGGTAATGATATTTTTGTCTCCTTTTCCCATTGCTTTCCTCCACAATTCACTACACATGTGCTTTTGCTTTCATACTCTCTGATGCTTTGCATAGGTTCCTCAGGCACTAGCCTGACTGCTCAGAGCTCTATTAATAGGGCTCCTCTGGAGATGGGGCCTGTGTGCTTCAGATGGGTGAGCGCAGCAAGATGGCACCACAGCCCCAACTCCTCGTCTTCCTGGTGCTCTGGGTATCAGGTGAGAAGCTTAGATGAGTGATATCTTTGTAAAATTAAAAGAAAATTGAACATGTAGAATAAAAGAAACATTCATCCGAAACAGTTTGATTATTTGTGATAAAAAAAGAAAGGCTACATTTTTACATATATATTTTAATATCTTAGTCTGTGATGTGTGGTCACTGTCAATTCTTATTTGCAGGTGCCTGTGGGGACATTGTGATGACCCAATCTCCGGACAACCTGGCTGTGTCTGTAAGAGAGAGGGTCACCGTCAGCTGCAAATCTAGCCAGAGTCTTTTATCCAGTTCCGACAATAAAAACTACTTAGCCTGGTACCAGCAGAAACCAGGACAGGCTCCAAAGCTGCTCATCTACTTGGCATCCACCCGGGCATCTGGAGTCCCTGATCGATTCAGTGGCAGTGGGTCTGGGACAGATTTCACTCTCACCATCAGCAGCCTCCAGGCTGAAGATGCGGCAGTTTATTACTGTGACCAGCATTATAGCCATCCTCCCACAGTGCTTCAGCCTCGAACACAAACCTCCTCTGTAGGTCTGCCTGTCAGTGAGTGTCTGAAGCACCCGGTGGTTCCTCCCCACACAGCCCTGGACTTGAACACTTCCTCTTTCTGCCTGAGAGTCTGTGTATTCTGCTTATTTATGAGGATGTTAGCAGGGCTAGAGAAAAGAGTTAAGGTGCTCGACATGTCTTTCAATCCCCTCGTTTAAGGTTTCACTCTAACGCAAACATTTAACTTAGATAAAATAATGGTTCTTTTAAATAAATTTTACTTAGCTTTGATTTCATGTTTTTTTATGCTGATTTGGCAAGTGAAAGTATAAGTTTTATGGCTCGTGTTTGTAAGCAGAAGAATAACTTTGGAAACAGTTCAGTGATGCCTGTTGTATATGAGTAATCTCACATGCTTCAAGAAAAGAAGAAAAATCATTTAATTCCAGTAATGGGTTAATTTTTCTTTATCCAATTCCAGTATCCGAGCACTTTTTTGAAATTTATTCTTATTAGGATTATTTTGTTATTGTAAGATACTCACACTACTAATGAAGTGATCGATTGTTTGCAAATAGGTTTGGTTTAACTGTAAATGTAACTGTATACTCCAGGACACCCACAAAGAAAAGTAAAAATGTACATATATAAGAGATATGCTAAGAAGGAAAGGAAATGAAATCACATAAAATGCCCAGTTTAAATCACAACAGACAGATAAAGAGGGGAAAATCACAATAGGCTTAAAGAGCAAGCGCAACAAATTGAAAACAGTAACAAGTTCAGTAAAAATCCAACTATATCAATAATCACTTTAAATGTCAATAGTGTAAAAGCACCAATTAAAAGAGAAAGATTCTTAGAGTGGATCAGAAAACAAAACTCAAATATATGTAGTCTACAAGAAAACTCTAAATATGAAGACACATATGAATTAAAAGTAGATGGATAAAGATATGCCATGCTAACCCTAATCAAAAGAAAGTAGGCATGACTATATTAACTTCAGACAGAGCAGATTTCAGAGCAAGCAAATGTATCATGGAAAAAGAGAAGCATTACATAATAATAAAGATGTTTAATTCTCCAAGAACACATAACAATCCTCAATGTATATGTGCTTAACGACAGAGCATCAAATATGTGAGGCAAAACTGATAAAACTGCAAGGAGAAATAGATATAGTTACTATTATACCCAATGAGTTCTATACTCCTTATCAAAAATAAATGGATCCAGAAGGCAGCTCAGTACGGACATAGTTTAACTCAACAACATCAGTCAACCAAACATAATTGACATATGAGAGTATTTCAGTTCAAAGCGAATTATTTTAGTGAATTCTGAAACTTTAGCATTAAGCCAGAAGTATTATTGACAACCAAATATTTTTTATAATTTTTCATATAATCAATAAGTTCTCCCCTTTATTTGACCTAAAATGGATAATTTGGGGGCAATCTTTTTTTCTGGTATAGATTAATACAGTAAGATTTTACAATAGGTTTCAAATTTCACTGAGGGTTCTAGGATACCATAATATGAGAGAGCCAAACAGTATGTGGTTTGAGGGGTTCCTAATTTCTAGGGCAAGAATATGAAAGATGAGTAAGATCTGCCCAGATAAGTTTCTAATTAGTTATCATGTTCTCTAAACTTTTGTTAAACTTTATAATTTTGCTTTGTGACTACTACAAAGAGCTCAAAATTTATTTTCTTTTATTTCATTTCCTAAACCTCATTCAGATCAGGCAGATGGAGTATACCATCTTTATTTTATGTTTTTATTTCATTTATTGAAACAAAATTGATTGTACGTTTCTGTGGGGTACAGTATCGAATATCCATA